AAAAACTAATTTTTTAAAAAGTTTAACTAGGGAAGCATGAAATTTTTTGCTGTCTAAATTTCGGATATTGAGTGAAAGTTTATTCATAAACTGAATACCTAGGCCGTCGATCGCATTGAAAGAGCTGGCTAATTTATATGTGCGCGCCTTAATAAGTTTGTGTCTAGTGTTGGAGTTTGAGGAGGACGAAGCCATATCAAAAAGTTTCGAATTGTTTTTGATGAAAGATAATGTTCCCAACAGAAAAATGCATGGGACAGTTAGAATATTGTGTTTTTAAATATAGGTCTGCAGGAGGCTTTACTAGGCAAGGAAAAAATTATTCGAATAGCTCTTTTCTGAAGCTTAAATACTTTAATTAGTTCGGATGAAAACCCCCAGAATTGGATGCCGTATGATATTTTAGTACTCTTCTAACCTAATCCTTTTTATCGCACTATTTTGTAGTATCAAAGCGTTTCTTACATTGTAATGCTTCGTTGTGACCTTAAGCAGACCCTCAATCATTAATCCGTCCTTCTTAGGTATTATATCTCCTTGAACTCGATTCAACCAAATCAAAGGTCAATATCTGATTGAAAAAGAATGTGATGGGCAGTCACTTGAACCCAAAAATGAACCAATTAGAAAAATCTAATCAATACTAAAACGTCAACTTTAAGTATTAACTCAACATTTAAACATATAACATCACCTATCAATCTCTAATAATAATTATTTTATCCATATATACAACAATTGAAACTATTTATCATCTTTTAATTGTCTGATATAGTCACTACCTAATTATATCTGGTTCTACGACATTATCCGCGAAAAGTGTCCTATTCTAACAGATTTAGACTCCACGGTTTGGGACACGAACTCTTTCTAAAATTCACGTTATGAACTAACCGAACCAGAACAGTTATTATCTTAAAAAATAAATGCATAAAATCATACATGAATTGCATAATTTTTAATACATAGATATTGCTTCAAACATTATTTTTCGCTTAATACTTAAAATAAAAAAGAGCAATAAATAAATAAATAAATCAGACTATTGGTAAGCGCTTTATTCCACGTTAGAGATGACTTTAATAAGAATTTTTAATTTGTAATCCCATTGCAAACGGTATATTCTTCGTTCTGCCAACTAGACTTTTGTAAACTTACCTTGAAAAATCAATTAGTAAAACTATGAATAAAAAAACTAAATTGAAAACGATAGATTCATTATATCAACGATAAATTCTATTTAACCAAAAATCCATAGTTTCATAATCTAAAAAATATATACACTGAAAAATAACACAGACTCCAACAAAAGAGCAGATAAATATAATTAATTAATTGTTTTCCTAAAAAATATTAAATTATTGGATCTTTGTTTACTGATTTTATAATAACGCTTCGTATTTGATAAATCTAATTTCATTAATGTAATACGATCTTGAATCTTGTATTTCCATTCCAAATCATCCGAATCAATTCTGTTTTACCTCAAGATGAGGGTTAAGTAGGGCAAGGAGAACCCATGATTAGGTATTATGATAACAATGAGGTGTACTACCTTTGGGGTAAACCTAACTTACAGACTTAAAGGGGCATTATGTAAAATCGACAAACGTCTTCGATAGGAATTCCTGTCGACCTTTGTACGACCTTTCGTAACTGCTTGATGTGTATCCGAGCCATGAAGAAGAAGCGAGCGGGCTTTTGATAATATTCATAGATGTCCGCAAGGCTTGTGTAGGTAATGATCACTTGAGTCGAGATTAGAATTTGAGGTCCGATGAAGATGAAGGTAGTGTACAGAACTGTACATTTGCATTGTTGAAACGAAGACGGTGTGTTACATATTGCTTTTCAATAATAATGTGCAGATACTGCAGGTGATATTTCAATTTCCATATGCATTCAACGAGTTGTAAATAATTCTATATAGTAGTAATATATGTCAATTTTTGCAATTTATTTTAAACTGTTTGTATATAAATATATATATATATATACATATATATATATATATACATATATATATATATATATATATATAAAATGATCTTTAAAATGCAGTTTTTTACATACCGCAACTCCTATAATCAGAGTTTGTTTTAAACATGTCTCACTTGACAATGCCTCAAACTAGACATGAATGTGAATGTTTTTTTTATATATATAAATGTATACTTTTAAACCAACGTAAGTCTGTATCATATAAATTATTTGAAGTATGAAAAAAGTAGAATTTTATCGCTTCTTGTGATACTCCAATTATAACAATTGGTCAATTTATAATCATTTTTATTTTGCTTATGCTACATTCTGCATATTAATGATAAAATTCAATAAACCCCACCTCGAACATCAAAGAAAAACTTCCATGACTACTTCAGAAGAGCTTTTGAGCACATTCATGAAAATATATATACCTAAGTAGTTGAAAAATGTGCCTTTCACAAATCAGTCAGACGAGAACCGATCATTTCAAAAGCGATGAAAACGGTCGCGAGTACATTCAAACATGGGATTATGAATTCGTATTATGCATAGAATATCAAACTTCCTCCTCCTGCCCCATTTGGATAGCAGAAGAGAATTCTTATCTGAAATTAAATCTACGAACCTATACGGAAGTCTCATCCGAACAAAATGTTTTCTGGTCCATTCCGGTGTAGGAATCTAAATATTGATATATTTAAATTATGGTTGTGCTACACGTGTATATGTTGGGAAACAGAATGTATAAACAAACAGAACATATTGAAATTCTGCATTTGAAAGTTATTCGCCGCAACGTGTATATTTTTTCTTTGCTTTGCGTTGGCGGAAAACTGCGGAACGTAAATAATTGGTATCGTTCAAAATTCAATTTACGTATAAGAAAAGGGCTTTTGCGTCGGTCCATTAATATATTTTCTGTTTCAGGTTTCAGTATTTATGGAAAATAGCTTTTGTTACAATATTTTATGTATTGAGAACACCAATATTTATTCGTAAAAGTTTTAAATCAATTATCCTAATTTAGTTCAACGTTATATATAAGTTCTACCCTCATTTATTAACAGCCTTATTAGAACTCATTTATTAGAACTTTACGTCCTACAAGCTGTTGGGCTAAAACTTCTTGCGACGTATTTTTAGATGGTACCCCAGCAGCTGAACCATCCATATTAGATTACTTTATTATTAGAATTTATCTAATAGGGCTGACTTATTATTCAAATTTGATGAAGTAATGCCCGGGAAGGGTTATTTTTACTTGAAAACATATTTAAGATCTATATATATATATATATATATATATATATATATATATATATATATATGTGTGTGTGTGTGTGTGTGTGTGTGTGTGTGTGTGTGTATGTGTGTGTTTGTGTGTATGTATAAATTAGCGAATGGAAAGTCAACTACTGAGTATTTCTTTCCAACATCTCATTATTTTATACCATGTCTTTTTATAACTGACAGTTATAAATTATCAAATTTGCTTAACTGGTCAGTTATAAATATATTCCATTATATATTATTATTTATATCCATATTCCATATAAATATATACCATTTAAAAGATATGATTTTAACTTATAATTTATTTTATCCAAATATATATTATATATATATATGTGGATAAAATAAATTATAAGTTAAAATCATACCTTTTAAATGGTATTTTGGTCTAGAAAAAAAAATCTAGTAATTTGTTTTTTTTAATTTCCAAATATTAACAAAATCCAACATTTACATAATTTTTGAAGATACAGCTGTTTGTCCACGATAACCATTGTCTGTTTTTTCTTTCGCGAAACTTTAAACGCGTTTTTCTCTAAACTGTTTGTTTTCGATACGATATCCACGATTTCTCGACTTCTACTACACCCATTTATATAAATTCTTACAGAATACAGAGTAAAATATTATTTACTAATAATCTGTCAGTGAGATATTCAACCAGAGCTATATTCTTTAATCCCAGATAACTGGCATTATCTCGTCTCCGTGTCGTCGTCTATACTGCGTCTCTCTGCCGATAGTGATGCTTGCTTGCGCTTTCCTTTGTGCTCGAGGAGCCTGTCTGAAAATCTAATGAATGTGACATCCCTTCCGTGTGTACAACCACTCAGAAACACAACAGTTCCATGCAAATGAGCTTGTTCAGAGCATTAGCATAGCAACAAGCTTGCGTTATTGGTTTAACGGATAGTACAGAGACGGGATGTACCTACACCAAACATTCGAAGCCATTAATGGAGATGTCATCGCAATAACTGAATGGGTTGGACGACTAAAAGCCTCAGTATCAAATGCGTTAATGGAAGAGATTTCATTTAATTAAAATTCATTGTTTTTGCGAAATGTTTCAGCACGTTCTCCACGAATAACTGATCTTTGCTTTTGTAGGAATTTTGTACCGAAATAAAGAAAATTTTAGCCGAAAATTTGGAAATTTGCCAGATTGTATTATCATATATGACTACTAGATTTATATAAAACCACCAGACTTTATATATAACCGCCATATTTTATACACCCAGACTATATATGAAATGACCGCCAGAGTTTATATATGCCCTCCAGAATTCATAATAATATGATTGCCAGATTTTATATATGGCCGGGAAATTTATTACGATACCGTATTCCATATGCAATCTTAAAGCAAATTAAATTTTCACATATTTATGATTTATGAGAAAAATATTTCAATTTAAGTCATTTTAAACAAAATACTATAAAATTTAAAAAAAAGCTGCAAAATGCTTTTTTAGAAAATAATTATGCAATTTTATTTGTCATTATTGTTGAAAGTTCTAATTGTTATTGTACACAGTATTTGTATTATATTTAATTATACATAGTTAATATAAAATTAATAGTGAAAATGTTTACTACATTGTTATCATAAAGAATTTTTTTAAGGTTAATAACCAAAACTTAAAACCTTACTCTGATATAAATTTATAATAAATGTACAAAAAACAAATTTCTTATTACATAAAAGACAAAATTTACTAATTGCTACAATCGGTTTCTAATCGCATTTTCTTTGCTCTTGGTCCTCCTTCGCCCTTTGATTCGTATGTCCAAATTCCCAATTGACCATCCCTAGAAGAACTTGCAATTTCTATTCGATGCGGGTGCCAATGTACGTCTCTTATACAATCCATATTTTTATGATCGAGTTCTTTAACGATTTTTCCAGAATTAGTGTTATATATTATCACCTTACCATCAGCGCTACCAGCATAAGTATATCTTTGGCCAGTATTGAATTGTGGCGAAAATCGACACCGCATAAGAGTCCGTTGTAGTATGTGACCTACATATGTCATAACAGATCTATCCTCTGGTATAATAGGGTCATCATAAGCATCTGCATTGTAGCGCCTTGGAAAATAGTCGACAATTTTTTGTTCTCGACACATTCGGATGTCCCACAATTTGGCACATTGGTCATGAGAATTTGTCAAAAAGTGTTTTCCATCGTTTTTTGAATCAATGTGTAGAATATCATATCTATGACCGTATAAAAAACCAACCGGCGATGCTCGATTCTCATTTAAACATCTTATATCCCAAATTCTGCAAATTGTGTCAGCACCACCGCTTACGAATATTTTAGAAGACTTTTCAAGAAATGCCATTGAGTAGACAGTCCCAGTATGTTCCTTAAAAAGTAGTTGTTTATCGATTTCCAAATCATGTATACAGATGTAACAATCGGTAATGGCGGATAAATACATTTTACAATCCCCACTAAATTTGATAGGAAATATTCCGCAGTATAAATCGTCTTTAGTATATAAAGCACTTGATACATTTTTATGAACTTGATCTTCAATATTGTACAAATATACTCTTTTTCCTGGACATTTGCAGTAAAGCACGTAATTACCACAGGGACTAAACACGGCATCTAGTATCCAGCCTTCATTTTTGCATTTGAATTCATGGGTGCATTTTAATGCTGGAGTTGTGGCATCGTAAATTTTTATAACATTTTCCTGTTGTAAAGACATGAACTTAGTACCATCTTCTGAGTACAAGCCACAGGAAAATATCTTTTCACCTCTATCTACTACGTTTACATGATTTGGCAAAAACCCGTCGTTAATGGCCCATCGTTGATTACTACCTATAGCCGCATTATATTGGCGTTTTCTAATGATACTAGGAAAAGTTATATACGATTTTCTATGAGATTTAGTGTTAAAATCAGATGGGCGACTCGCCTTATTTTCGGACATTTTCAATTTTTATGCTGAACTAATATTTCAGATAATTGAATTGAAGAATTCACAAAAATATATTTAAGAAAAACATACGTCAATGTTTTAAAAAAATAATTATTTTGACATATAAATATCTATAAAAATTGACAATCTCTAAATTAAAACCAATCTTTCTAGAAATTAGGTGGATAGACCTTATATTACATAATATAAGGTTTATGGGTGGCATTCATCAGTTGAATTATAAGTACATTGTTCTCATACGCTCCTTCATTAACTCTTACATCATTCATAGCTAAAATTTTTCAAAAACTAGTTATTCAACAACAATATGTTTTATTTACATTTTAGACTTTCAATTTATCTTCTTATATCATTTATAAAAACTTTTATAAAATGACATAACGTTTTCTCTTCTGAAAATATGCACTAGATTATTTTCATTTTGAGTCAAATTAAATTAATGTTTAACTTAAGCACTCATAATATTATCTCAAATGATTTCAATTACGAAATTTTATTATGTTTCCGGCCCTCATTTTCCTTCCGCTTACATCAACAATTTTGCCCTCGATCATAATTGCTTTCTACGTTGACATTCTCATAATAATTTCACCTCTCGACTGCATTTGTTCGCTACGTAAAGGCCTCGGCCCCCGTGTACACAAGAGCCAGCAATTATTATACTTTCCCGAAATTAATTTTGACAGCAGGAAATTTTATTCTAATTATAATCTTAGATACTTTGAATTAAACAGTAGAAAAATGTAGCAACAATTCTTGTGATAAATAAATACAAACTTGGTTTGATATTTTAAAAATATTCTTCCAACGTGTAATGCCTAAAAAGTTTATTTGTTTCATAGAAATGAATTCAAATATACCTATAATAAACATTATTAGATTAGACATTCCATTCAGAGATGGAACAAAAATATTTTGTAAGATTTCATACTCGTAAACTAAAAATTAGGTGGGTATTCCGATGTAGAATTTAAAAAAATCGATGTTTTGTTGCGTAGTTTAGAAGTTTAACTATTCAAGAATATGTGTGCAAGATGATTTCCAAAAATTTATATTATTTTTGGAGATGTAGCTGTTTGTGCCACGATAATCCTCCTTTGCCCTTTTCGATACTCACGATTTCTTAACTTCTACGACCGTTCCACTTTACTCCAAATTATTACAGAATCTTCTCTATGGACTTCCTTCCAGTATGAATTATGTTCATACCCAAATTCCAATTTTTACATTTTTTAAAAAAAATGTAGAATAATAAAAAAAAAATTGTTTCAGGTAGTCGCTATCGCTATTATTTTATATTTTTTTTTTGTTTAGTTGGTAGTTCATACGATATAATGCAACATAATATTATATTAATAAGTGATAATAATAATGAAAATATTGTTTGCCTTTTTTAGGACCTTTCAAAAATAAAATTGATGCGTCTAGACCAGTACTACCCCTTAAGATTCCTAAATTAATAATAATTTTACGAGTTGTGATTATATATAAATATAAGAAAACAATTTTTTAATAAATTTACCAATAATTTAAAGACATAAAAATATTATATTTTTACTACCAGCATGATTTTTATAATATTTTAGATTAATAATAATAAGAATTTATGCTTGCATTTCTTGGAATGTAAAAACATTTACGTTTCTCCGAGTTCTTAAATGTTCTAAATACATTTCGTGAAACACGTAAAATATTTACTGAATGTCTTAGAAGTCAAGGCAAATTTCAACATGAGAGAACTTCCTCACTTTAATTAAAACATGACATGAGGAGCGAATGCTTCGCAGTGATATGACAATGCTAAAGTATAATGTAAAGCTAAGACAATGAGCATTATACTGGAATATTAATGTGTAAATTTATCTTTTATAAAATCTAATCACGAAATGATTTTCTTACCGCATACAGAATTATAAAATATCGAAATAAAAATAACTCAATTACCTGAAAAGTTGCTCAATATAAATTATAAGTAACGTGATTAACGTAACGTGGTAACGTAGCAACATTAGGACGAAAATGTTCAACAACATTTCTGAATTCATCATCATCATCGAACAAAAATCAAAACTATCAAATCCAGAGTGAGAAAACTTTATTGGCTGGATATAATTCAAAACTAGCACTATCGAGAATAAAAATTTTATTTTATAAAACAATAATAGTTCCTATCTGCTCTAGCAAATCTAATGTGGCATTCGTACAGCGGATCCAATCAAAACTACTTAGAATGATGATAGATTCACCTTGGTTTGTGAGCTTTTCATGATGATCTGAGGGTGCAATATATCAAGGGCTTCATAAAAACATATCGACTAATTACATCAAAAATTAAAAAATCATCCCAATGTACTTGTTGCTCCGTTATTCCATACACCAGAATCGAGAAGACAGAACAATTATGGCAGCATTGCATCTAATAGTACATGCCCACTAGGATAACTGTTGTCTATATTATCTAATATTTTTCATTAATGTCAATCAAAATAACTCATAGAATTTAACTAATGTTGTGATTGTTATTAAAATGAAGAAATAAAAAAAAACCTTCAAACAAAAAATATTGTAAGCATGAACAATAAAATAATCGAACTAAATTATTTGGAACATTTAACGTATTCACATTTGTCCTTTCAAAATTTCTTATGCCAATATTTTTTGCTGTCGACCGAATCCAAGCATGATAACAACGAGCAAACATAACTTATGATAATTGTATTCCTTGTTTATATTACATTATTCACCATGCGGTCCTGAATAAGTTAAAAGTGTTTAGGAGTATTTACTTTAGCGAGCCCGCAACCCCAAGTGTAGTACAAAAACAAACAGACACACATATTAAAATTGTATATATATATATGCATTCACAAACGCAGTTTATTATCAAAAATTGTAAAAAGTTCTCTGAAACATAAATAATTTTTGTAGCTTCTTTTATCTATCAGATCTTGGCTAGAACAAGTGCAACTATTATGTAATTTCCCCATCCTACAACTATGCAATTTGAGTAGCTTGTTACCAGAGAAAACGCGTAAAATAGTTTTATGAAAAGCTGTGAAATTTCACGTAATTTTCTAACGTAAATAGTTTGCATAAAATGCAGGTAATAACGTGGATAGTATCATGTTCGAGATACTTTTATACGGAATATTGTTTCAATAGTTATTTTTCATTGTTGGAGCATGTATTGTATATTACGAATTTTTAGAGGCATGAAATTGTGAAAATAGTAGTGCAATTTCTAATTATTTGAATTTTATTACGAAACTTTAATGAAACTCGAGTTCGCTGAATTTATATAATAAAAGTTATCATTATCATTCCTAATTGATTGAAAAATTAAAAGCATATTGATATTGCATAAATAATCCACATTTTTTGTTAGACGTAAAATGTTTATTTGTAGCCAAATACTTGAAATGAAAAACAATAAATAAATAAACTATTTATTATGTATGTTTCAACAATGTAATTATTCAGCACATAACGAATTCAGAACTGAACAATCATTGTTGGTAATTGTTTTATAAAAAAAACAACCAATAAAGTTAGAAACTGAAGATCAAGTAATAAAATGGTGTAGTTAGACACGTGATGAACAAATTGTCTACAACAATTTCCTTGAATCGTGTGTTGCATTTTTCTTGGTTTGAATTCGTTATTTATTTATTGTTATTACAAATAGTTATTTATTGCTTTCAATTTCGATTTTTTGGACAATTTGGACAAAAATACCTCAAAATTATTACAACATTTTGGCAATTGTATTATAATAATCAAAATATAAAATAATTTTTGATTTAGTTGGTATAATGTTAGTTTATATCAAACTACCATTGCATAGAATCCTGTTTCATATCGCTCAAGACTTAAATAATCAAAATATATGACTTTGCATTTAAACCTGCATATTAAAAACATACTTGCACAATATATGCAGTAGGTACACAACAGTTTTGCACTAAATCGAATATAACAATAGCCAGCAATAACTAGTTTCTATTATGAACTAATCAAGCAGGTTTTAACCAATTGCTAGAAGTGCTAAATAAAAATAGATTTTTTGCATTCTTATTTATAATGTTAAGTATTATTTTTTATATCAAGACAATTTTTACACATTTGTAATATTTTTATTCCAGACTGCAAGCGCATAATTTAACTTTTCCATCCGACGGAACGACTCACTGGTTGAATCTGTCTACGCCCGTCACGGGAGATTGGTTCGGTGTCGCTTTTCTCAGCTGGACTGATCCGAAACTCGACAAAATAGAACAGCAAGGTATGTATATATGCAGAAATATTTTATACATTCTTGAAAAAGAATGGAGAATAAAACCGTAATAATAAATTACTTCTAGGGCACTTTAGATTAAAAAAAAAAATGTTTCAGTTATCTTAAAATCAATCCAAAATAATTGATCTTCTGTTTGGATCTAAAAATCCAAGTAAGGGATACAAAAATAAACAAACAATTTCTAATTTGCAAATCCGTTTAAAAATTATTTAACTCTTTGGGGACGGCTGTCCACCTGAGTGGACAAACATACTCTGTGAGGCACTGGCTATTTTATAAACAATGACTCAGTTTGCATCAAAAAGTTGAATAAATTACATAAAGCAGTGATAAACAGTGTTGTATTTTAAAGATAATTTTAAGTTATTTTAGTAGTATTTTTAGCCTTTTTTGCTATATAGTCTTTTTTTAATATTTAAAACGACCGAGCGCTTTTAAATATGGCAAAACGACTGGTAAATTTTGTGAATTAAGCAGTAGTGAAGATGAGTTTCAAATAGACATTCATACAGACAAATTTATGAAATTACTATTCGCACCGAAGATAGTGATGAATGTGATGATGATATTATCTAACCAACAAAAAGAAAAAGTACAACAAATTAAATGAAGAACGGAAAGACATTAGCGAATGTGCCGATTCTCTATCAATAATCGAGTTTGACATACATTAACAAACACCCCGACTACAAAT